GGTGGTTCCGAGATCGGATCTATAGTCATAGGTGCAGGGATGATTGGCACATAATCGATCTGCGTCGGCTCGAGGAGCTCTCCGACTCTGTCAGCGTTGATGATCCAGGAGATCGATCCGATCGTGAAGATCTGGCCAGGCTGCGGGAGGGACGAAGAGCCTACGAAAAAAGCCATCTTGTTCGACAAGGAAACAGCACGCAGACCCCTACCTGGTGCACCAACTGTCGACAGAATATCGTCGGTAGTCCTCCGAGGGGTATCCCACGAAGGTAGATTGATCGGCAGAGGAGCGTGAGATCAAGAACAAGAAGGCAACAGAGACACACGAGTTAGACAGGTTCTGACCGTTAGTATGATGTAATACCCTACTCCTATGGTCTGTTGGTTTGTATTAGCTATCGTATGATATTGCGTGTGTTTGGAGGGGGTCCCTGCCCGCCTTATATAGTCCGGAGAGAAGGGTTATAAGTCAGTTAGATCTGAGAGATAACCGGAAAGTAATAAATGATTACAGAAATCTTGGGATCATACATATCCTAACAGATCTCGTAGTATCTTCAGGATATCTTCCAGATGTCTTGCTGGAGGCGCCGAGCAGAGTCGTGCCCCATAAGGCTTCGTCTTGTGGGCTAGGCCGCCCTTGAGGGCGCAACCCTTGTGGTTTGCCATGGGTATCCGGGGTCATACCCCCCACAGTACTATTCTCCAGAATTTTCCCATGATTTTTGGTCATCCAAAAACAGAGATATAAGCTGATGATGATAGGTTGCTCCGAAAGACAGGATATAGAAAATAAGGGAAAACCAAAACTCAACTATTTATTTCATTAATCCTTATACCTTAGGCCTATGAACAAAATAAAATTGTGGTAAAATCCCACAAGATCATTGCACTCATTACAAAGATCCAAACTAAGCATAAGCACTAAGACAAACCAACCAAACATTAAAAATTCACAAGGCACACAGACTCAACTAGACTCGACTTTTGCTACTAGCATTTTTATTACATAAAGGGGCACAAATTCCTATTCCTTAACCAAGGTGTGGCTACGAGAGCATCCAGGGTAGCATATCTTGCATGACAGTGAGGGCGACACATCCTCCACTTTGTTGATCTTGGGTAGTCCGGCATGACTCCTTCATTCGTCATTCTCATCAAGGGCTTCTTTCGGGTTGGGCATCACTAACACTTACTAGTGGCAATCTTGTAATGATCTGACTCTGGCCACTTCTATGGTGTAACTATGGATTCCTTTGTGGGCAAAATTTAGCATAATGTCCTCTATAGCTAATGTGGGCGGTCTTCTCGTTACGAACCATCTATTGAGAAAGTTTAGACTTGAGACAAAGATTTTTTATAATAAAATAGAGTCTTATGTGAGCTTAACTTTTGGCAAATAACAAGGTTAGAGACAAAAGCAAGAAGGGAACAAAGATGGAAGTATACTAATATGGCCAGTTCTATCTAGGCTTGCGTCCTACAGTCAGCATTGCTCTGATACCACTTTGTAACATCAGTTTTAAGGATAAAACCAGATACACACCATATGTGAGCCTAAGAAGTCAAATCTCACATAGCTACAAATAAGGGTAATATCATAAGACAATGCTTAATATATAACATACTTTGTTTAAAGTATAAAACCTTAGACAACAAGCAGCGGTCGGACAACTCTGATCTTTGGCTGTAGTCACCAACACCACAGGGACAACTGACTGGTTGATCACAAGCTTAACTCCTCCAGACTCTAGCAATCTGGAACCCATCTAGGATTTTCTAAAGTATTGAAAAGTAAAGCAAGCGTAAGTACATGTCGTACTCAACAAATATAACATGGGGTACATGAGGCTCAAAAGGTTGACACTGGTTTAACTACATTAGCTTTTAGTGAGTCAACTTTTAGCAATTTGAGTAGCAACAAGTTTATCACAAGCCCATGTAAACACATGATCAGGTAAACATGAATAATGAATAGCATAAACAATTAATTAATAGTGATCACCTATTCCATAAAGGTTCCAAGGCCGCTCGTGACCGTGAGCACGACTGATATACCAGTTTTACACTCTGTAGAGGTTGTACACTTTCACTGTGAGTCATGGTACCTATATACCCGGGTTTATAACTCCCAAAACACTTCCAAGGTGAGCAGACAGGGGTCACTATGAAGTCTTTCAGAGGTTCATCTAACAAGTTAGGGACGCTAGGATTCCAATTGGCAAACAGATGTAGAGCTTTTCTTTCAAATGGCACATTCCGTGCAGGCTATACACATAAGGATAGAGGTCGCACTATACCCGATTCGACAAGCCCCTTTTGCGCCATGAAGGTAACCACTAACAAGCTAGAAAAGATCCTCATACTTGACTAAAGCTAGAGCCATGTGGCCCTCACAGTTATACTATAAGTCCCGAATGATCACTTACAGATAAGTCCTTAGGGAGAGGAATCTAGAGCATCTAGAAAGTAGCCAAACACTCTAGCCCCCTTTAACCATGTTGCTAAAAAGTCATCTTTTGGTGTTTATTGCATATTCCATTAGTCAAGTTATAATATCATGGCTTTAGTTGAGCACTAGCATCATACTACCCAATGTAATAACCCATAGGTGACAAGTAATCTAGGATATCAAATAGTTAGGAAAATTACTACGATTGTCAAGATAGACACATGCATATGATTAAGTTATTAAAGTGAATAGGACAACAAGGATAATCCCATGCTATACTTGCCTTAAACTTAGATGCTTCTTCTAGTCCAAAACTTCAAAGGAATTCCTTCTAGATCACCACGTAAAGCTCACCGACTAGACAATATCATAAAGCACCACACAAGCATCCGAATAGACATGCATAACAGACAAATATGACTAAATTAGAATAATATACCAATCAATAAAAATGTTTGAAAACTAATCTACATATCGCTACGAGTACACAGACACGGAAAGCACTCTAATCAGAGCTACGATGAAAAAGAAACAACTACCGAAAGATTATTTGATAGATAAAAAGAAAACTATAGGCTTTGTTTATTTTAAATAAATCATGTATAAGATAGTTCAGAAAAATAGCTGGATTGAATTAGGTCAAATTATATTTGATTTGGAAAACCAAAATAAAACTAATCTTATTTTATTATTATTTAGAAAAGATCAAAGTTGAAAATCTAAATTGCTTTTAATTAGAAATCTAATTGCATATAGATGGATCAAATTAACATTTTATTTGAAAGCACAAAACAGGCTAAACAATGCTATTGTCACGTAGATTATCTCATTACAGATCTAACGCAACTTGAACGGATTAAAACAGAGATTTTATGCTTGAAATAAACTCAGTGGCAAAACTATAATTAACTAGATTTTAATTCGATTTAAAATAAATCAAAATCAGGATTTTGAATTTGGAGTGGACTGCGGGTTTGAAATCAGAAAAGTAGAGGGGCTCTTATGCAAAAACGCCAGCCGAAACGGTATCGGCCGATCTCGGCCGCTAAATCAAACCTGGATAATCCAGATTAGAGGGGAGGGGGAGAGAGTTACCGGTGGCGAGCTGGGACCATGTGACAACACCATATGACAACACTTTACCAAAGCAGAGGGGATAGAAGTGCCAAAGGAAATTAAAATGACGCTGAGTAGTGGATTCCCGTTAGGGGTGACCTGTTGTGCGTATTAGCCACATTTTTTTAGATCGAAATCATTCACTTAGTTTTATTAGAAGTGTAACTAACACCCAGATCAAGTACTGGGGTTACTGGCTTATAAAGTAGCACTTACTCCCTCCTCCCCAAAAAGGACGACGCTGATTCATAGCTAAAATGTCATTCTTTTTTAGACGGAGGGTGTATACACCTAGCAAAAACCTCCACGAAACAAGTGTTAACTCACCTTAACAGCTCAAGAGACCAACCAACTAACTCAACACAAACTGGTCTAAGAAACAGAAACAAGACGACAAAGCGCTTCCCACAAATTGGATTAAGCCCTTTTCTTATAATAAAAAAATTGGAGAAAAAAATCGGAATGAAAAGTAGAGAACCCTATGCGTGTCATTTTGATTGCAGAACTAATGCGAAGGGACTTTGGTACGTATGGTAGGAAGTTTTCCTCCATGCTTTAGAAGAAGAAAGTAATGCTACGTTTTAGTGTTTGATTGAGTGTTTCAACGCATCTTGTGCCTTTCTTTCGCCTTTCTCTCTTGCTGATAATAATAAATACTATCTACTACATAGAAAATACATATCTTTTACTGCGATCGCGTCCAAACACCTCTCCTTTCCTATGAGCAACCGCAACGTTTCTTCCCCGTTGAAAAATCTTTCAACGTTCTAAAAGGCAGCAGGGCACTTTAACCTTACGGCTTTTCTATTTCTACTCTTTGATGATAATATTACACTGTACGGTTATGCCACAGATCGATTTTGATCCAAACTCAAAGACAGAAACATCTAATATAGGAACGATTTAATGTTTTTTTTTTAAAAAAACGGAGGTAGGAACTCTTTTTTTTTTTGAAATTAACGGGAGTTTTGAGAAGAGTTACAAGAAAGGAAGAAGAGGCGCCACTCGTTATTAGAGGTGTATATATATGTGCAGAAGGAGACCAAGACATCGGGATCAGCCCGTGCTCACTGCTCACGCCATCACTCACCTCCTCTTTCTTCCCCGTCCGTCCATCGAGAATTCGATCCAGTCCACCAACCTTTTCCGGCTTGGTCAATCCTGTCGCCATCGATCCATCCCGCACAAGAGCACACACACTCCGGCAGCTCCACTCCACTGCCCCGCCGCTCGCCGTCCTCGTGCTCCACCGCCTCCATCGGTTTGCTGCCTTCCTCGCTCTGTTTTCATCCTTTCTCTCGATCTGCTGGTAATCTGAATTCTAATAAAGCCATCAGCAGCAAGCTGTGTAGTCTGATCTCTGATGGCATGCATCTGCCTTACTTCTTCACTTTGCTGATGAACCAACCGGCAGGTGGGCTGCTGCTGCCATGGAAACGTACACGACGGATGACGCGCTCACGGCCATGGGGTTTGGCAAGTTCCAGGCGCTTGTTCTCGTGTACGCAGGGACGGGCTGGCTCGCGGACTCCATGGAGCTCATGCTGCTCTCCTTCGTTGGACCACTGGTTCGGCTGCAGTGGAATGTCTCTCCCCAGCATGAGAGCCTGCTCTCTAGCGTCGTCTTCACTGGCATGCTCCTGGGAGCCTGTTCTTGGGGCTATATTTCCGACAAATATGGAAGAAGGTAAGTAACTAAGGGTGATCTCTCTCTGCTCCTGTCTCTGTTTAGAAGATATAATTTTACAAAACTATATGCTGTCAGTCACACACACATGGGTGGACCTAGTTGTGCCCGGTATTCCCCGTGCATATCCAACATTTTTGCTCCAAAAATTAATAGCCAGTAGGTTATAGATGTATACATATGTATATTATAGCTAAGCTTTAATATTGCAATTTTTTTTCATCTTATTCATCCAAAAAACAACAGCCCATGTAGCCACGCTGCGGCTCATTATACCCGGGCAACCCCCAACGACCCTTCCAGTTTTAGGACCGATCCCAATCCTGTTCTCCTCCATCGGCTTATCAACTAGCGTGGTAGGACGCCAAACGGCCAAAGCCATGAGCCGATAGACGCTCCCGCGAGGAGGAACCCTATCGCCCACGAAGCCACAAGCCACTACCCGCTCCATGCGGCCTCCTGCCCCTGCCACCTCAAAGCTGACCCCTAAGGGCGCAGACGTCCAGGCTATAGTGAAACTGATTCGATATATTTGTTAACTAAATTTTGGGGTAAAATCATAATTTTTTGTCTTTGCTTAATTTTTTATATATTTTTCTTTGGCCTGTGCATACACAACTTTGAAATTTTGAGTTCACCACTGATCACACAAAAGTGTAGTTCTATAACCAAAAAGTTTTTTTAAAAAAATACTTGGTTTATAAAAAAGAGGCCATAAGTGAAGTTTCTAAACTCCAAAAAGACCTATGATTTTGACAAGACCATGGTTTTAGAAATTACAGGTTTTGTTATATCAAAACACCTAACGGCTTTTAAAAACCAAAGTATTTTTCAAAATCATTGTATTTATGCAATACTCCAAAAACACTTTGCATCCAAATAGGTCCTTTAGGCTTGTTTGGAAGCACAAAAGTGTAAATAATTTTAAATTTAAATTATTTTCGTTTGCTATGTTTTGACCTTCCGTATGTGAAAGCATAAATCTTGTATCTTCTTATTGCAGGACTGCTTTACTGTTCTCCATTATTCTTACTGCTGGAGCAGGGTTTATAAGTGCTTTATCTCCAAACTATATATCTCTGCTGGCTCTTCGGTTTCTTGTCGGTATAGGAGTTGGTGGCACACATGTATTTTCATCTTGGTTTTTGGAATTTGTTCCTGCAAAGAACCGTGGTGCCTGGATGATTGTGTTTTCTGCTTTCTGGACTTTCGGAACCATCTTCGAGGCTTCACTTGCGTGGGTATGGATTACGATACCCTCTCTTCCTTGACTGCACCTTACAGTTTTTCGGAAATACCTTTTGTTTTTGTCAAAAATCAATTTGAACTATAAATACGATTTTATATGTCCAATAAACACACAGTTCCCTATAGTCAACAGTTCCGCAGCCGCAGCCGCAGCCACATTACGCTGCCCCGAAACAGATTCCCCCAACAATAGCAGCACCGCGGCAACACGGGGGAAGCCTATACTAGTTATATATATATTTCTCGAAACTTGACAATATTATTTCAATAAATCAAGAAACAAATCCCAAATGTTCTAAGGAAATAGAGGTCCAAAGTTAGAAGATTCTTGGATCAGTTTTATAAGCATGGACCCTGCTGATATTGAACTCTGAATTTCTACAATGCAACCAACAATTTAACGATATTGGTCTCTGAATTTCTACACTCAGTATATATAAAGTCTGAACCTGCCTGATTTCCTCTAGGCATTTACTCGTTTGCATGACATTTGTAATGCAGGTTGTCTTATCAAGACTGAGTTGGCGGTGGTTGCTGGCATTCACCGCCCTTCCATGCTTCGTTTTGCTTCTGTTTTTCGTCCTTGCACCTGAGTCACCACGCTATCTCTGCGTACAAAACAGAATCTCTGATGCGACTCTTGTCCTGGAGAGGATGTCCAAGACGAACAGAGTCGCTCTTCCTCCTGGAGCTCTCACATACCACAAAGAAACACAGTTGGTTAACCACAACGGCGACGCTCTTACTTCTCAGAATGGACACCTTCCTGTCAGAGAGAGTGACTGTACTACAATGGACAATAATGCCATGACCATGAGCTCCATATCTGGTTCTGGTGGCATTGCTGCCCTGCGCAAGCTGTTTTCACGCAAACTGCTCAGATCGACTCTTCTTATTTGGTTTGTTTGGTTTGCGAACTCCTTTGCCTATTATGGTCTAGTGTTGCTAACGTCGCAGCTGAGCGATGCAAACAGAAGATGCACATCTGCTCAGAAATCTCAAGCGCACCAAAAAAGCTCCAATCTCTACAAAGATGTGTTCATAACTAGTTTAGCAGGTACAGTACCTACTATCACATATACGTACACAGTATGCCCCATTTGCTTTCCATTATTAGTGCTGGCTATGAAATAGTAGAAATACTATGCCACTACTAACCCAAGGCATCTTTGTACCAGAGTTTCCAGGGTTGGTTATTTCTGCGATTATCGTTGATTGGTTTGGCCGGAAAGCTACAATGTGGATCTTGCTGTTTGGATGCTGTGGTTTCCTCGGACCTCTGGCTGTTCATCAGAAAGAGTCGCTGACAACCGCTCTTCTATTCGGTGCTCGCGCCTGTGGCATGGGGAGCTCTACGGTTTTGTGCCTTTATGCACCAGAGGTTTGCATGTGTTTGTCTCAACTTGAGTACAGTACTACGTATGGCATTCATGCATGCATAGAGGACTAGTAGTTCTTCTATGATTGATTTCTCATTGATACTTGTATTAATTTGCAGGTGTACCCAACATCAGCGCGCTCAACAGGTGTTGGCATTGCCACCGCCATTGGTAAGATTGGCGGCATCGTTTGCCCCCTCATCGCCGTGGGCATGCTGCGGAGCTGCCACCAAATGGAAGCCGTCCTAGTCTTTGAGCTGGTCCTAGGCCTCGCAGGAGTGGCCTGCATCCTCTTCCCTGTGGAGACCAAGGGCCGCGAGATGAAATGACAACACTCTGTTTCAGCTCCAAATGCAGCCAAAGCTACCACTAGTCTACTACCGCGTCCACTATCAGTGTCTACGTATATACAGAAAAGCACTACATAAAGTACGGAGTATAGTATATACTGAGTATTTTTGTTTAAGGCGTACTCAGAAAAATTGCTCAAGCTATATGTTTAATGAAATATGAAATATTCTGAGTATCCTTTTTATCAATTAGTTTTTTTTGTACTCTATGTCCTTTTCATTAATCGCAAAAAAAAAGTCCTTTTCATTTTCACTATTTTGTTTAGATTTTTTTTTTTTTTTTTAATACAAGTACAACCTGCATAGTTAGTTTGCTAATGCATATGCCATGATATGGTTACAGGATAATGAAAAACAGTTTTGAGCCGTTTAGGCTCAAACCATGCATGGGTTCAAATCATTTGTGTGTGAGTGAGTGAGTGGGGTGGGGGGTGAATTAGTTCATTTGGGGTTAATTTTGTTGGTGGATTGGGCTTGTTTGGATTCTCAGGGCGAAGTGTCTTCCTTTGGTTGGATTGAGAAAAAGAAGAAGAAAAAACACAAGGTCAATTTTGACCACTCAACTTTTGTGGTCATCTGAACCACCCCCCACCACCCCACCCCACATCCCCACCACCTATAAAACCAGTTTTTTTTGTTGTGCGAGGACCATAAAACCAGATTTGGTCCTCACTCAACTTTAAAACTATGCTGATAGTTTGATTTATGTCCTAGTAGCTGGCGTGGCGTCATATAAATATGACCAATAAAACCGTGTAGGGTAAAAAACAAATGATTTTAAATGTTAAGGGACAATCTGATTTTATAGATGATGGAAAAAATTGGAGGACTACAAAAATAATTATTTTTCCTTTTTTTCAAGAAAGAACTGAGGACATAAATCGGTGTGGTTTATGGTTGAAACCTCAACCATTAGTAGGGCTAATTATACTCCCTCCACCCACAAAAGAATACAACTATGGGATTCATACCGGTTAAATTAGCTCAAATTTAACTAAATTTATAGTAAGTAGTATTAGCTTTTATATCTCTAAATAAATTTATTATGAACATATGTTCTATAATCTAATGGTACTTATCTTGTATCGTGAATGTTAGTATTTTTTATATAATTTTAGTCAAAATTTAAATTGTTTGACTTTTTGAAAAGTGAGAATTGTATTCTTTTGTAGAAGAAGAGAGCATTAGGGCACTCCCAATGTAGAAACTACCATAGTTTCTATGAGCATTAATTGTACTGTCACCTAAGCGTTTTGCTGATGTGGTAAGGTAGTTATTGAAGAGAGAGAGCAAAAATTATAGAAACCAGGTCTAAGTTAGAAACCATGTCTACACGAGAACCAAGACATGAAGAGATGTGATTGGTAGAGAATGGAGAGAAAATATATGTGATTAGATAAAAAATTATTCTGTATAAACTATCCATTAGGAACATGATTTCTATATGTAATGTCTATAGAAATTAATAGGTGTAGTTTCTAGCATTGGGACTGCATTTAGTGGAGTTTGATTAAGATCAAGGTGGACCGGATACTCCTATCCAATGTGATCTCCGTTGTCCAAACAGTTATTTTTGTACTATTCATTAGTGTTTAAATAATCCTTAGTTATATAGACTAGCCCTCTTTAATTCTATAGCTCCGTCGATGGATGTCCTTCATTAGCTGCAGGAGGAAGCGATAGACGAGGAATGACGACAATACGGTGACTATATATGCTGAGTTAATCAAAGTGCCCTAACTCAAATTAAAATGTGAGAAGTAGAGACCGTATTGGATACTTATAAAGAAATAAAATGGAAAAATCCTCATCTGATTTTTTGTTCTTAATCCCAAATTCTGATCTCACGTCAGTCGCAAAAATCATATACTCAGATAATCTGATTAGGACCACGACAAGAAATTGACCAAGGACGCTTGGGACCTTGGAAGGGTAGTCATATATACAATACTCCCTCCATCCTAAATTACAAGTCATTTCAACTTTTTCGAGAGTCAAAGCATCGCAAGTTTAATCAAAATTATAGAAAAAAATTACAAAGATTTACGACATCAAATACGTATAGTATGAAAGTATAATTAATGAAAAATCTAATGATATTTATTTAGTATTATAAATATTATTATTTTATTAGAGCCTCTTTGTTTACCTATGTAGAACGTATGCATTGTAATTTGATCAAATTTGAGATGCGTTAACTTTCTAAATAGTTAAAATAACTTATAATTTGGTACGGATGTTTCACTCAATTAGAGCCTCTTTGTTTAATTACCTGGGCGAGACGTGCAACCATGCCGCTGGGCTACACACATGCGTTGTTGTTTACGTGGAAACATGTCGTGCAAGACTGGCACTCTTCGTAAAGCGCCTAAAAGGCTGCATCTGGAGAAACGAGTTTGGGTTCCATTTCTTCTTAGCTGAGACTTGCATGTTGCAGCTTTGGGCCTCGTGAGGCAGAGCTGTTGTGAGAGTAGCTAGCCTAGGGCGCATGGTGGTGTAGGCAAAAAAAATAGGAGACCTTGTTGGCTAGGTGCACTGCAAGAGCACCAAACAAAACTGGTTGTCTTATCTAACCTTGTCTCTTTGTGTCATGGACATGTACACACAATGCAATCCACTACTGGAAACCCATCCTTTGCCGAGGGCTTCTAGGTTTGTCGAGGGCTAGATCTCAGACACTCGGCAAAGGCTCTATTTACCGAGGGCCAGCCCCAGGAGCCCTCGGCAAAGATAGGCCCTCGGCAAAATAAATCTTTGTCGAGGGCCTAGCCCTCGACAAATTGGCCCTCGGCAAATATGGCCAGATGGGTCACGGCGACCATTGGCGGCAGTCTTTGCCGAGTGCCCGCCGACAGCCACTCGGCAAAGATTTTTTATTTTTTTTAAATTTTCTTTGCCGAGGGCCAGGTTAGGCCCTCGGTAAAGATCACATGTGGAGATGTCTGAGTTTTAGGTATCCAATGTCACAACTTACTCGAAATCTTCTCAATTTTTTACCATAGCCTACACATGTGATAACATGACACCTCGACAAATTTCATGATTTTCGGACTTCGTATGGATTTTATATAATTTAAAAACACTTTTCCGACAAGTTCCTCGTCATGTTACGTGAAGAAGATGCCCAAAATTTGATGCGAGTTCGTGGATAGGGACTCAACATACACAAAATATCATGAATAACATTTTTCGAATCACTAAATTGCATTATTCCATTCAACTGCAGTTCAAATTTGAAATATTTGAAAAAAATCAACGAAAAGAAATAAATTAGGGAAATATCACTAAAATTGAGTTTTCAATAATGTATTATAGCACCACAAAAAAACTGGGTTAAAAAAACAAAAAAAATCTTTGCCGAGGGCCTAGCCTAGCCCTCGGCACCCTTTGCCGAGGGCCTGGCCAATGGCCCTCGGCAAAGAATTTTTTTTTAAAAAATCTTTGCCGAGGGCCTTGGATCTGGGCCCTCGGCAAAGGGCCTAACCCTAAATCAGCCATCGGCCTGGCCCAAAATCCCCGCCCACATTTCATATGCTTGCCAAATTGCTCGCCCATCACATCATTGCCACCCATCCCACCACCCCACCCCCACCGCACCCACCTCCACACACCCTGCTACCGCCTGCCGACGCAGCCCCCCCCCCAGCCACCCCCTGGGCGCCACAGCTCCCCCCCATCTCGGTCGAGCAAGGGGAGCTCAGCCGGCCCTCCAGCGGCCCCCCGCGCCAGCCTTCCCGTCGTCCTGGCCGGCCTCCCCTGCCCCCAGCCGCCCTTCCCCCCCCGTCAGGCCCTCCCCGCCTGACACCAGCCCCCCTAGGCCGCCCCGTCGTCGCCGGCTTTGCTTGGAGAGGAGGAGGCAGAGGGTGAAGTAGGAGGAAGAAGAGAAGGAGAAGAGGAGAAGGAGGAAGGGGAAGAGAAGGAGAAGAAGAGAAAAGGAGAGAAGAAGGAGAAGAAGGGGAAGAAGGAGAGGAGGAGGAGGAGAAGAGAAGAAGGAAGAGGAGAAGCGGAGAAGAGAGAAGGGAAGAGGGGGAGAGGAGTACTCCGACGCCGCTCGACCTCGCCGGAGAAGAAAGTGACCCCTGCACCGCGACGCCCGGCTCCACCGCAACCCTAGGTAAAACTCTCGTTGTCGGCCTTCGTGCCGTATGTGGTTGTGTGGGCCTTCGTGCCATAAATTGATATGAGGGCCTTCGTGCCGTTGTGGTTGTCGGCCTTCATGCCGTTGTGAATGTCGGCCATCCTATCGTTTTTTTGCAGGTTTTGGAAACCTCCCTGTGCAGGGGAGGTGCTGCCGAAATTTTGAACAAACAATAACCTATTGCCTTTTTATGTAGGAGAAGAGCACGTCGGAGGGGACTCGGAGGACCCCGATCGTGTTCGTCGGCGTCGCGGTTCTGCCTGCACTGCGTCGACTCGCCACTGCCCCGCTAGCCTGACTTCACCGACACCCTAGGTATAAATAACCTCTTTTTCCGTATGTGTGTCGTAGCCCGCGCGTAACCCAGTTAGGCATCTCTCATCCGAAAGAGATACGGTCGTAGGTATGCGGATCTTTGCATATCTGCGACCGTATCTATTTTGGATTGTTCATGTTTTTTGGACAGCCCGCGGATGCGTAGATGGGTTAGTTTTCATGGTCCGCTCCGGTCCGAGACGGAGTTTTGGCATCACCTCCCTGTTGTTCTTCGGATACACACTCTCCCTTGCAGGACGTGTATCGGGAGAACAGCGGGGAGGTGCTGCCGAAATTCTATCTCGGAGAGGAGCGGAGCCTGGAAACTGACCTCATCTACGCATCCGCGGGTGGGATTAGGATCTATCCTCACCTATTAGACATTAGGAACACCGCGTAGATGTAATTGATGGTCACAATACTCTGTGATGTAAATGTTAAAGGATGGAGGACCGTCAGTGGATGTACACGGGCTGGAGAAGCGGGAGTGACTACGACTATGAATGGGTGAAGGGGACAGATCGTT